AAATAAAACCACAGCGTGATACCACTTCACACCACCAGGTGGCTTGAATCAAAAAGATAAGCGTTGCCAAGGATGTGGAGAAATTGGGACACTCATACAGCGTCTGCAGAAATGTAAAATGGCGCAGCCACTTTGGAAAACAGTCTGGCAGTTTCTCAAAAGGTTGAACATAGAATTACCGAGTGACCCAGCAATTCCACCCCTAAGTAATGAGATAGAAAGAGAAAGGAAGACATGGTCACACACAGACTTCTACACAAATGTTCATAACAGCATTATTCATAATAGGCAGAGTGTGGAAACAAACAAATGTCTCTCCACTGGTGAACGGACACATCCATGTGGTGTGTCTGTCCTTACGGCGAAACATTATTTAGCAGTCAAGTGGAATGAAGTACTGATTCAGTTATAACATGAATGAACTCGAAACTGTATGCTGTGTGAAGAAAGCCAGACAGAAAAGGCCACATATTACGTGATTCCATTTTTTTTTTCATGGCACGCCCAGAATAGGCAAATCTATAGAGACAGAAAGCAGATCAACGGTTGTCTAGGGTTGGGGGGTGGCAAGGAGGAAATGAAGAGTGACTGCTGATGGATGTGGGGTTTCTTTTTGATCGACAAAAATGCTCCAAAATTGATGGTGGCGATGGTTATACAACTCTGCCAGCACACTAAAAACCCGTGAATTGTGCACTTGGAACGAGGTGTCTGTGTGTGAATTACATCTCCAGAAAGCCGTTATAAAGACCATTTGGAGGGTGACTGGCATGTGATCTTCATGGCGTAAGCGTTAGCTCTGACGATGATGGGGGCAGTGGGGTGGTGGTGGTTGCCCGTAACTGTTCGAAACACGCAGCGTGCCTTACTGTGAAGCATTCTGTTGTATAGGATCTCCTCTATCGAAGATCTAGGTCACTAGTGGATTATGAAAATGCTAACAAAGCACTGGATAAAGCAAGAGCGAAAAATAAAGATGTTCTTCAGGCTGAGACATCCCAACAATTATGTTGTCAGAAATTTGAAAAAATATCTGAATCTGCAAAACAAGGTACTGTTATATTAACCTTTAATTATACGGTATACCTTCAACTATTATGTGAATTAAATAGTTAATCCTAATTTCTTTTGTTCACAGAACTTATAGATTTTAAGACGAGAAGAGTTGCCGCATTCAGAAAAAATTTAGTGGAACTGGCAGAGTTAGAACTGAAGCATGCAAAGGTTAGTGTCCTAGTCAAGGTTTAATAGTTTACGTGACTTATAATTTAGAAATGAGTCAGTCTTGGGGCACCTGGGTCCTCACGATTGGTGAGTTTCAAGTCCCACGTTAGGCTGTGCGGGGGGGCCCCCCCCTTCAGATCCTCCGTCCCCGGTCTGTGCCCTTCCCCCCCCAAAAGTAAAAAATAAACATTAAAAAGAAAAGGGAGGGAGGGAGAGAGAGAGAGAGAGAAAGATAGAAAGAAAGAAAGAGAGAGAGAGAAAGAAAGAAAAGAAAGAAATGAATGAATGAATGAATTATGGGGTGCCTGGCCGGCTCATTCGGTGGAGCATGTGACCCTTGATCTCCTGGATGTGAGTTTGAGCCCCACGTTGGGTGTTGGGTGTAGAGATTACTTAAAAAAAAAAAAAAAGAAAGAGAGGAAGGCAGGGAGGAAGGCAGGAGTCAGTTATGGAATTGATAATAATCCTTTAATGACAGTTTCTTTCTGGAGGGATATTGGAAGAGCCATTCCTGGATTAGAATGAATTATAATTGGAACGCTAATTTTTGAAGATCATTTTAGTACTTCAGAATAATTTAATGTTAGTAAATAAATATCCTTCGCCCAGCGTTTTTTCTAGTGTTTGTTTCCTCCAGACTCAGCCCTTTCTTGTAGTTAAGATAAAGCTTGGCCCAAGCCTTCTAATGAGGTTAGAACTAGAGAATCTTAGAATTGCGAGCGAACTTAAAGATCATCTAATTCAAGCAAGAATAATACGTACAATTTCTCTAAGCGGTCAGCTCTGCAAGACCCTAGTACCTAATATGGAAACCAGTATCATTTGTGACTGCTTAAAAAAGATAAATCTATCTTTAATAAAAACTTCTTTAAAAATTTAATATTTGCTGGCTTCAGTCAGAAGGACTGAAAGTAAAAATATATTCAAAATTCCCCAAATTAGAAGTATTAAAGAAATTTAAATAAACTTGTTAGTGTTTTTTTTTTTGTTTGTTTGTTTGTTTTTTTAATATATTTATAGTATTTGCGCTTTGAAAGCCATTAAAAAGCTTGAAACTCTACTGAGACGTTCGGGACACTCCATAACGCACAGAAAGCTGCTTCTGTGTCACTTTGACAAATTGGTCAGAGTTTTGTCACGTGAAATAAGAAAGATAAATTTGACGGATGCCTGGGTGGCTCTGTCGTTTGAGGGTCCGACTCTTGGTTTCGGTCAGGTCATGGTCTCACAGTTTGTCAGCTGGAGGAGCCCTGCGTCCAACTCTGCGTGGAGTCTGCTTGGGGTTCTCTCTCTCCCTGCCCCTCCCCACTCGTGCACTCGCTGGCTCACTCTCTCTCTCTCTCTCTCTCTCTCTCTCAAACTCTCAAAATAAATGGGTTGGCTTTAAAAAAAGAAAGAAAAATGAATTTAATTTCTCCCACAGAAACATTTGGATATATTACCCTCAAATATTTGATTATATTCTCTCCTACAAGCTAGACATCTTTGAGCTAAATATATTTTATCCCATACATTTCAATAAGCTTTTTATATTATTACACTAGGTCATTGCTGTTTTCAAATATTGCATGCAGGGGCCCCTTGGTGGCTCAATTGGGTAAGCCTCTGTCTTTGGCTCAGGTCACGATCTCACGAGCTCACGATCTCACAGTTGGTGAGTTCGAGCCCGACGTCGGGCTCTGTGCTGACAGCTCAGAGCCTGGAATTGCTTCGGATTCTGTGTCTCCCTCTTTTCTCTCTCCGCCCCTCCCCTGCTCATGCTCTGTCTCTCTCCGTCTCTATGTCTCTCTCTCTCTCTCTCTCTCTCTCTCTCTCTCTCTCTCTTTCTCAAAAAAAATAAATAAGTACATAAACATTAAAATTTTTTTTAAATATTGCACCCAGAAATGGAAACACCTTTCCATACGTGGACTTATTATTGTACACGTTTCTTCTTACGGCAGTTTTAGAGGCATAAGGGTTTTTTGTGTTTTTTCTTTTTTTTCTTTTTCTTTTTGCTTTTCGCATAAGGGTTTGTTTTTTCGTTTTTTGGTTCTTTTGTGTTTTGTTTTGTTTTGTTTAGCGCCATCTTACACCAGCTTGATTTGGCTTATAATCACACATCTTCTCCTCGTTCTCCTCCTCCTTCTTGGTCTGTTTTCGAGCCTCCAACCTATCGTTGTGTGTTTAATTCTTTGTAGGAATAGTTTTCATTTTTGTGGTAAAAAACACATAAATGTACCGTCTTACCCACTTTGAAAGTGTGCGGTTCAGCCTCGTTAAGTATATTCACATTGTCGTGCAACAGGTCTCTAGAACTTTTCATGTACGGAGCATTTAATTTTTAAAATGAAGTTGCAGGCCACAGTTATGTCTGTCAAATTGTAGCTTGCTAGTTGTAGCCCAGCGTGAGATCTTTTGGAAACTTCGATTTGATCATATAGTAGTTGACTAGGAGAGTGGTGATTACTCCCGAGTGATGGACATTTGTAGTTTGTATGAACTTCCCTTTTATGTCGTCATCTAAGTTTTACTTTAAAAGATTGATCGGGACCAAAGGAGTCAACGTTGGTTCATCTAACCGGATAAGTGCACGGTACCCAAAAAGGCTGAATTTTTAGTTCCCTTCCTTTCTTTCTGTACTAATTGATATTAAGTTCTTAATGAGTATTCTTTGGCGATGGCTATTTGGGTAGCTAGGAATTCACCTATTTATACTATCATCAACCGTTTCCATTTTATCTGTGATGGATACAAGAAGTATCCAATTCCTCATTACAATGAAGCTATATGTTACGGATTTCCCGGTCTAATCACCCTCTCAAAAGAAAATATTGGGCTTCGCGGCGAGCGCCTGGGTTGGCGCCAGTGGATCGCGTCGACTTCAAGCCAGGTCACGAGTCATTCATGGCGTTGGTTCGAGCCCGCAGCGGTTGAGGGCTCAGCAGGCTGTCAGAGCCTGGAGCCTATTTCATTCTGTGTCTCCCTCTCTCTCTGCCCCTTCCCCGTTCATGCTCTGTCTCTCTCTGTCCCAAAAATAAATAAACGTTGAAAAAAAAAGAAAATATTTCGATAAGGTTGGCACGATTTATTGTTACTGCACCCGTGTTGGTTTCTAATGTTCACTATGTTTGTTCTTTGTAAGGAGGTTACAGAATCTCTTCAGGATTTTGTTAATAGGTTTAAGGAAGGATTAGCAAATTACAGCCTGTCTGTTTTTGTGTAGCCTGTGAGCCAAGAATGGCGTTGGTTTTGAGAGGGAGGGAGAGAGAGATAGAGCACGAGCAGGGAAGGGGCAGAGAGAGAGAGGGAGAGAGAGAGGTAGAGAGAGAGAAAGAACACCAAGCAGGCTCCTCACTGTCAGCGTGAAGCCCGATGCAGGGCTTGAACTCCCTAACCGCCAGACCATGACCTGAGCCGAAACCCAAGAGTCAGACACCTACCCGAAAGAGCCACCCAGGTGTCTCTCCGGGTGTCCCGGAGAGAGAGTATGTTAAGCAGGCTCCACGCCCAGTGCAGAATCCCAGGCGGGGCTGATCTCACGACCAACCGTGAGATCATGACCTGAGCCGAAATCGAGAGTCGGACGACGCTTGACCGGCTGAGCCACCCAGGTGCCCCTCAGTGGTTCTTTGAAAAAAGGCGAAAGAATAGTATTTCGTGACACGTGATAATTACGCGAAATTTAGATTTCATCTGTAAGTGAAGTTTTACTGGAATACAGCCAAGCTCGTTCCTTTGTGCTCCGTCTGTGGTTGCTTTCATACTACTACAGCAAAACAGAGACCACATGTCTCTCAAAGTCTAAAACGTTTACTACGTGTTTAAGCCCTTTACAGAAAGTTTGCTGACCCTTACTGTATAGATGGTTGTCAGGCTCTGGTTTCCAGATTTCTGTGCTTTTCAGGTCCTTTCTGAAATGTGTTCTCTGATGGGTCTTCTGCTCCGGTGGCTCTCTCAACTAGAGGCAGTTTTGCCTCCCGGGAGACATTTAGCAATTTCTGGAGACGTGTCTGGTAGTCACAACGGAGGATGGGTGGGTTTACGACCGGTATGTAGGGCGCAGAGGGCAGGAATGCTGCTAAACTTTTGACAGGGCACAGGAGAGCCCCCATTAGAAAGGATTCGACAGCCCCAAATACGTCAAGTGTGCCGAGACTGAGGGACACGGAGACTGGATGGCTCAGTCGGTGGAGCGTGCAACTCGTGTTCTCAGGGTTGTAGGTCCGAGCCCCACGTCGGGTGTAGAGATGACTTTAAAAATAAAATCGTTCAGGGGCGCCTGGGTGGTTCAGTCAGTCAGGCATCCGCCTCTTGACCTACCTAAGAAAATGATAATAAATTTTAAAAATAATGATAAAATAAAATCTTCTTTTAAATGGGGGGTAGGGTGGGTGGTGCCTGGCTGGCTCGGTCGGAAGAGCGTGTGACTCTCGATCTCGGAGTCGCCAGTTCAAGCCCCACGTTGGGTGTAGAGAGATTACTTTAATAAACAAAACTTGGGGCGCCTGGGTGGCTCAGTCAGTGAAGCGTCTGACTCTTGGTTTCCGTTCATGTCATGATCTCACGGGTTTGTGAGTTCGAGCCCCGTGTCCAGCTCTGCACTGATAACCGTGGAGCGTGCTTGGGATTCTCTCCTCTCTCTCTCTCTCTCTCTCTCTCTCTCAAAAATAAAATAAAATAAAATAAACATTTAAAAAAATAATAAATAAGGCTTAAAAAAAAAAAAAAAAAAAACGCCGAGGTTGAGAAACCCTGCCCTCTCGTCTGAGGTTTCTTGATGATTTTGCAAATCTGAACAAAGTCCCATTTTGGTCCCAGAATCCATATAAGTTATTCCAAAGAGATTAGACATTGGTTAAATTTACATCCAGATGGTTTACAAGTACTTTGGATTTCACTCATTATAACCGGGATATGTCTTGCCATGTATTGGAACCTGGTTATAACAGAAAATTAGGTCATTTGGTCACTTTTGTGTCCTTGAAGACAGTCTCAGATACTTTATTAATGAAGCATAGAATGTATGATAAAGGCAGTGAAAAAAAAAAAAGGTGATGCTACTGCTGCCTATGAGGGCGTGGAGTCCTCGTGCTGGTGGGTAAGTGTGGGTCAGGGCACACCCTTCTGGAGGGCGTTGGCAGTGTGTCAAGTGCAGGATGTGTATCCTTGGACTTCATCCCACTGGAGGGATATACCTTTAAGAAGATCATGTCAGAAATACAGACAGGCTCAGAATCCATCGTTCTACTGGCACAACATGGACAGTTACTGGGGCACTTGAAATTCTTAAAGCTTTATGTTCCCCCAATTTCAGGCGCTCAGTAAAGTTGCAAGAAAAGTACAAAGAATCCCTGGATAGTTGTCACTAGAGTCCTCAAATGTGCATATTGTCATGTTCGCTCTGTCCTCCCCTCCCCCTCTTCCTCCCTCCCTCTTTACTTTTCCTCTTTACACAGTACACACACACCCCACACCCCTACCCTTATACATACCTGTTTTTGTCTTAAACCATTTAGGTTGCAGCTAGGAAGTCTCTTGGCTCTTAAACACTTCAGTGTCGATTTCCTAACACCAAATAATTCTCTTGAGTACTTGGAGCAATTACAAAGATCAGGAAATTACTATGGATACAGTACTATTATCTAATCCACAGACTTTTATGCCACCAGTTGTCTAACAATGAATAATGTCTTTAGTGGCAAAAGGATACTCAAGATAATACATGACATTCGGCGCACAGGTCTTTTTATTTATTTTTTAAGTTTATGTATTTATTTTGAGAGAGCGAGCGAGAGAGAGCGCGAGCGCACACGTGGGAGAAGGGGAGAGGCAGAGCGAGCGAGCGAGCGAGCTAGCGAGAGAGAGAGAGAGAGAGAGAGAGAGAGAGAGAGAGAGGGAGAGAGAGGGAGAATCCCAAGGCAGGCTCCTGCGCTGTCAGTGCAGAGCCCGGGGCGCAGGGTGGGGTGGGGGAGGGCTCCAACTCACCAAACCGAGACCGTGAGATTGTGACCTGAGCAGAAACCGAGAGTCGGACACTTAACCGACAGAGCCACCAGGCGTGACTTTTCGTTTTTCTCGGGATGAGCTCTACACCCGCTGTAGGGCTTGAATTCACGACCCCCAGGATCGAGAGAGTCGAGAGTCGCGCGCTCTACCAACTGGGCCAGCCAGGTACCCTCCCCGCCCCGCACCCCCCGCACGTGTCGTTTTAGACTTCCTGAACCCGGAAAGTTCCTGAGTCTTTGTATTTCATAACATTGGACACTGAAAAGCACAGGTCTGTAAAATGTCCCTCTCTTTGGGTTCGTCTAGTTATTGAGTTTAGATTCCCCACCTGTGGCGGGAATCGCCCAGAAGTGGTGCTCGGACCTTCTGGTTGTTGCATCCTTTCAGGAGGTACATGCTGTTGATGAGTTGCCTCGCTGGCAATGTCTGACTTTGATCATTTGGTTCAAGTGATGATGTCTGCAGGTTTCTCAGTGGCCAAGTTACTATTTTACACTTTGAAATGAAGAAGTATTCTGCGGGGAGATACTTGGGACTGTGTAAATACCCCATCGCTTACCCAGCACTGTCCCACAGAATTTTGTGTGATGATGGAAGTATCCTGTCATCAGCACTGTCTGGTACGGTAGCCACTAAGTAGCCACACGTGGCCGTCAAACGCCTACACTTGAAATGTGGGTGGTGCAACTGAGAAACTGAGTTTTTATTTAACTACTATTAACAGAAATTTAAATTTTCCATTGCCGCACGTACCTAATGGCTACGGTATTGGCATTTCAGCCTTATGCTCAAAGCCACCGTTCATGACTTTTGCCTCCGTCGATTATTGTGGTGGCTGCCAGACGGTCACTTTTCTAATCCCATCGTTTTAGTTGGCTTTCTGCTTACTGGAAGGAAGAGGTTTTCCTTTACCCCATGTGTTTATCGGTGTAATCCATATATGCTTACATTTGTCCGGACACGTGTCTGAATTTGGATGCCAGCGCCCATGTTTTACAAATGGGTACGTAGGCCTGTCTGAATGTTACAGAATGCCGTTGTACGGGAACTTACGGCTATGTGTATAAAAACTGGTATCACTCACTACTTTAGTCCTGAAAGCGTACGTTATAATTTAATATGCCTCTACCCTAATACACAGATTTTAACGGCTAGAGGAAAGGGATAAGAACCGGTCTTGCAAAACGTCCGGTAGTTTGACTTGGACACACAGGGCATGTTTCATCCCTCATTAGAATCATGCCGAGTGATTCAACACCATAATACTGACCTAGACGGACATGTCCTGAAGAAATCTGGTGTGTGGAAAACCTTGTACGTGAAACAGAGGATACGGTTTTATGTCTTTAAACCCGTACGTGTGTGGATAGTGAGTAGCTGTTTCCGGAGTTCTGTTGTCTTAATAAAGGTGGCGTTAGTTACGGGATTCCCAGCGCTGTTATATTTTCACTGCAACTCTTCCAGGCTGTCTGCACTTCATGATTTATTTTCCCTTCCTTTTTAGGGTAACCTACAGTTGCTGCAGAACTGCTTGGCAGTGTTAAATGGAGACACATAAGCCACACTCCGCCTTTGGTTAAAAAGGGCTGCCTTCCTTCAGATTTTATTTTTGTTTTCTTAATGAGATTAGGCATTTACTGCTCACCGGAAACAAAAGAAACAGCTGACCAAGTGCATCTACTCTCCTTTTTTTCTGAGAAGCCATGGAGCGGTGCCGTCCACGGGTTTTGCGGGTCCGTCCGTCTGTGTGGTGGAACGCTGCCCTCCTGCAGCTCCCCGTGTGCTGCCTGGGACGGTTGTCCATCACCGTGCGCTCCTCCTCTTCCGAAGCCCAGCGTTCAGTCCTTTTTTAAGTAGCCTCTGTAACTGTCTTTATTTTCTGAATAGCGTTCCTTATGGCTGCCAATCTTATTTCCCTTTAAGTAATTTCTGATGTTTAACCCTTTCAAAGATGCATTGTTCAGACAAGATAAAGGTTGCCATTACCTTTTGTTTTCTTTTGGTGTTTTTGTTATGTTTTGTTTTGTTTTTTTAAAAACATTGTATGCCACCTTAGTTCATCCATGTATCCTGGTAAAAGCATCTTAATCAGACTTATTTTTAATTAATGAACATTTCTTAGAAGTTTTGGGACAGACTTTATGTAATCTTTGTAAGTATGATTTCTGATGAAAAGCGACTGCATTAGTATGTTTGCCTTAAACTTGTAGACTAAACCGACTATTGTCAAATAAACCGTGGTAACAGTGATAGTTTTTAACTCTGTGGTCATTGTATCACTCTAAAATTTGGAGTAGCTATAATCAATCTACTCCTTCGTTATGCTTTACAGTGCAGGTCTTCTCTCTTTTTTCTCTGAAAATGGCACGTTGAACCAGGTTCACCAATCCCCTTACGAAAGAATGAACTGCTTCTCTGTGTGCTCTGAGCCTTTCCTGGAAGATGGAATTGGGCAGAGGCAGGTTCGAAACAGCTGTTTCTAAAATACAGGAGGCAGACAGAATGGTCCGTCTGTGATGGTTTCCTGAATTCCATCCCTCGCCGGGCCAGTTAACCCTGCGACACGCCATCGAGCCACTTGATAGTTCTACTAGTGTACGGATTGGTATGGAGAGAGAAAGAGTGCTGTAAGGAACAGCCCTCGTGGGGGTGGGAACTGGAATATTTGGAATGGAAGGCTCCAAAAAGGATACTAGTTACAATACAAATATGATTGGCCTTTTTAATGTGAATTATCGCCACGTCATTTCTAATTTAAAATTCGATTGTGTGGTTTGGTTTTTTTCACTAACTTTTCTTCCAGTTGGAAACCACAGGTATTTGGGTTGGTCACCTTGTAGGTGGGTTCCTCGTTTACATTTTCCCCACCCCTGGTCTAGGTCTTCTGAGTAGTCACCATGATCCCAGCCTTGCTCTCCAGCATGTTCTCTTGCCTTACTGGTGTGCTGGTTCACGTTTCTCTCTTTCACTGGCGTTGTTCCCTGGTTATTCCCTGATGTCGTTTGTACTACCCCCCCCCCCCCCCCCCCCCCGGTTGCCTGAGAAATCTGTGTTTGGTCCTCCTGTCCGTCCCCTTCACTGGTGAGAAGACGCCCACGCGATGCTCACCAGTGGATGAACGGGACAGAGAGCCCTGGCTTCGGGACTCGGGTGCAGTCCCTTCGCCGGCTGCCCTTGTGGCCTAGGCAGGTTTGGTTCGCTTGACCTCTGTCTGCCTCAGTTTCTCCACTACAAAGGACATACTGACCTACCTACCTCACAGGGGTGTTGTGAGGATTAATAAACATTGGTACAGTGCTTTGAAAACGTGAAGGTGCTGTGTAAATGCTAAGAAACAGCAAGTACGGGGCAAAAGGCAGTAATACAGTGTCGCACCTATCCATCCGCTAATCTGCTTGTTTGTACCAAGGGGGCCTTATTCCGGGCAAGGGTAAGGAGGGTGGTAGGTACATCCCTTGGTCCCTGGTTTACATGTTTACGGTGTCTGTTGGGGTGGGGGTAGAGTGGAAGCAGCAAGTTACATATTAGTGTGGGGCAGGGTGCTTAACAAAAACACACATAAATGAGTTGACCGCACTATCCAAGGACCTTGTCACAAAACACACAAAGAAGGTGGAGAATGTAGGTTACTCTCTCAAAGGCATACTTTAGGAAAGATGCTACTTTGTACCTCCAGAACAATGGAAGTATTCCACAGCTCAGCTGCTGGTTCCCCGTAAAACCAAACCAAACCAAAAACTGGTTTCAATACCCTCGTGGTGTGGCATTTACGAAACATTTAGGGACCATCTTGTGCCTGGGGGACACAAAGGAGAAAGAGGAAGACTCCCAGTAACAGAGACAAAGCCCTGCACTGGGTAGTAGTACAGGGTTTCTCCCACAGCGTGTCTTTACTGCACGCTCTGAGAGGAAGAGAGTGACGCGAGCAGTAGGAATGAACGACCCAGGAGGAATGAAGGTGGCGGGGTTGGTGGCAGTGAAGGTGGAGCATGGTAAAGAAAGGAAATTGCAAAAGAAAGTGGGGGTCCCCGGGCCGCTAAGGCCCGTGAGGCTTAAAGACTGGGCGAGTTTCTCCTCTGCCCCTAGTTTGGGAAAGCGCCTACAACACAGATTCCGTGGTGAACTGCTACAGAAGTTGAGCTCAAACAGACCTTTTTGAAGTGAGGCACTACGCACAAGTTAACAGAGCAGGGTGGTGGATTTCAAGGAGACACTGCTGGGGGGGGGGGGGGGGGGGGGGTGTGGGGGAACGGGGTGTCGCAGAACTTACAAAGAAAAGATAAACGACCACGAAGCGAAGATGTACTTCCGCGCCGTCTCCTGGCCCCCCCGCAAACCCTCACGTGCCCGCCTATCACGACGTCCTCAGGCGACCGGAAAAATCTTCTCCGTGCTGCCGCAGTAGGCGGGCTATAGTTGGCGGAAAACGAGGTAAAGAAAAACAGAACAAAGCCAAATAAAAACCGAGAAACAGGGTACTCTACTTCCTTTCCCTCAGGCTTGCTTTGGGCGTCCCGGAACGCGTTAGTACTGAGGATAACGCAATGAGCACCAACGCAACGGCAGCAGCGCGACCGTACTGTGGGTGCGAGCCTGAAACAGCCAAGTCCGCCGCCTCACTAAGCCCCACTTCTTCCATTGAGACCGCAAAAATCAGGGGAAAGCGCGAACGCAGTCCCCCACTACCACAAATTATGCAGTCGAGTTTCCCACATTTGGGGAAATCGCAGGGGTCAGCACATCCGGAGTGCAATGGATAAGCCTCGCCCTGGGAAAACCACCTTCGTGATCATGGTATCTCCCCTGCCAGGTAAGTATGAGTTGCTCGCCCCGCCTCGACCCACACCCTCGCGCTCGCCACGCTTCTTACACACGGTCACTTGCCCCACGCGGCCTCCGCGCCCCGGATGCCCGCAGCCCCCCCTCAGCTCCAACCTCTCCCGTCCGCAAAACAACCGCGGGCGCCTTTGCCTAGCCCCCGCGCGGGACGTGCGCGCCCAGGCGGTCCGGGACCGGCAGCCTCTGCGCGCTTGTTCATCTACATACGCCACGCCTTGTCGCGCGCTTCCCCGCGTCGCGGCTCCAGCTCTGGGACAACGGATGTGCTAGTGTCCCGGCAGACCGCCGGTGCCTGGAGCGAAGGATGGGGGGAGGGCGGCGAGGAGTCGGGACCCGGAGGGGAGACCCGAGAAGACGGGGTCCCGCGGCGTCCAGAAGTTGCAGGCCCCACCGAGGCGGTGGGTTAAGTCTCCCCTTCCTTGCAACGAAAATTACATACAATACGCAACAGAGAATCAACTCAACCTTAAATACTAAGAGTTTTGTCACCAATTTAACATGAAATTGTCTTAATCCTCAGTAGGACCTTTCGGATTACGTAGTAACCTAATCTTGCGACAACGAAAGGAAAATTTGAACAGAGGGCGTCAGTCAGGACAAGGCGTCCATTCTCAAGAGTAGATGTGTGGGCTGGGGAGGGGCGTCGAATGGTCTCCGAAAATCAAATGAACGGAAACATCACGTTTTCATCCTGTGGGCTTCGGCTGCCTCTTTCAGCCTGCCCGGATTTGTCTTTTCCTCTTGTGTACAAGAAGATTCTTTCCGGAGATCGAGTGGAGGTAAAGGTAAATATCCTCTTCAGATAGGAGCAAAATGATCGAAGTGTTGTGTGTTCCTGGGTGATCGGGTCCCTGGAGCAAAGCAAGGCAAGAGACAGGACTAGAGATTATTGGGTCAGCAAAGACTTCTCTGAGGTTCTAGCAGCATCAAGATCCGAGTTAACGTGTTGTACATCCTTTTACTTTACTTTTCTTTTCTTTTGTTTTTTAATTTATTTTGAGAGAGAGCGGGAGGACGGGCGAGAGCAGGGGAGAGGGAGAATCCCAAGCAGGCTCCGTGCTGTCAGCGGGGAGCCCCACGCGCACCGAACCCCCTCTCCGCCCCCTCCCCGCCCCCAACCGTGAGATCATGACCAAGGCTCGTTCCCTTAAGGGACTGAGCACCCAGGTGGCCCACGTTTTGGATTGTTAGTTGTTTCAGGAAGTTTCCTTTCTTAGGGTGTACTACTCCTCAAAACAAACAAATGGTTCTCTTCCCTAACCCCAGGAAAATTATCAAAACCAAGAAATGAACATTGATACAATCTTACTACTCTACAGACGTTATTCCCTTTTCCATCAATTGTCCCAATAATGTCCTTTAGAGCAAAGGAAAATTCAAAATCATGTGTTGCATTCAGTTGTCATGTCTCTTTATCTGAAATAGTTCCCAGGTAGTTCTTTGCATTTCATTATGCAGGCCTTTTTGAAGACTACGGGCCAGTCATTTTGGAGACCGTCCTTCAGTTTTTGAGTTGTCCTGGCTTCCCTCGCAAGTACATTCAGGAATGCATTTTTGACACGAAGGCTACGTAAATGATACCGTGTCTGTTATGGGTTGGTTTGTGTCCCTCCAAAAAAATATGTTGAAGTCCTAAGTCCTGGTACCTAGGACTGTGACCTTCTTTGGAAATCTCATCTTTGCAGATACAGTCGGGTGAAGGTGAGGTCACTCGAGCGGGCCCTGATCCAATGTGACTGTTTTCCTTACGCGAGGAAGACGGCAACGTGAAGAGACTCGCTGACAGAACACCATGAGATGGCAGAAGCAGAGAGTGTAGTGATGTAGCCGCAAGCGAGCCAAGGATTGGCTTGTCACCACCGGAAGCTGGGGAGTAACGAGGGACGATTCCACTCAGAGCCTCAGAGAGGGTATGGTATGGCCCTGCTGGCACCTTGCTTTTGGACCTCTAGCTTCCAGAACTGTGAGAGAAGACACTTCTGTTTTTTTAAGCCACCCAGTTGGTGGTATTTTATTATGACAGACCTAGCAGATGTATACAGGCCTCCTCTGGGCACCACGTTTGGAGGCACGTGAAGGCAGTTTGTTCTATTACTGGTGGGGTTAACGTCGACTACTTAGTGAAGGAGGTGTATCGGTTACCCGTCTCTGTGTAACAAATTGCCGTAAAACTTAGCGATTGGAAATAATGACCGTTTCACTTGCTCACAATTCTGTGGATCAGCGATTCTGGCTGGGTTCCACCGGGCAGTTCTGCCGGTCTCAAGTGGGATCGCTGGAGCCGCGGCGGCCAGCCTGCAGGTCACCTGGGGCCTAGTCGGTCTAGGGGACTTCGGCAGACACGGTTCACGTTCACTCCGGCGATGTCATCCTCCAACGGGCTAACCCAGGCTTCTTCTCATGGTGGCC